AAAATCCCATTGTTTCTCCAGTCGACCCATTGAACAAGACAGGGGAGGACCCTGGCTTGTTCACTCCCTCACTCCTGTGTAGTTTGATAGACAACTGTGCTTTTCTACGCAAAGTATCCTGGGAGCAATAGACGTCGCAATGTTCTCTAGATCTCTAGCAACCCTGGGCTGCAGTCAGACACTGGGCGAAAGTCACCACCAAGGCCTCTGTGTTCCTCAAACTGAAGGAACATATTTCAAAGACTCCCCAGGAGGACTCCTTTGAAATAGCTCTCACAATCCTCTTGGAAACTACTTCAAAGTAATGGCTAACTTTAAGGGAAAAAAACAAAACAAAACACTTTTACTAGCCTCCTCACATCTTTCCTTCTTTTTTAATTTCTTTGATCTTACTGAGTGGTCCATGGGCCAAGGATTAGTTCTCAATTTATTTCTCCTATAAAGTTCTTACAAGGGGGCCAGAATGTCTTACACTGACTCTGATATCCTGCTATCCAACCTCTTGGGCGCTTGGCCAAAAATGAATCTCGGTGATACTGATGGACATCCTCCGGAAACAGCACGAAGAAGGAGGAAGGGGAGGAGGAGAAGCCGATGACAGATGTGCCTGAGATTAGATCGGTGGTGGAATAACTAAAGCCTATACTTTTCCTGGAAAAGCACAAACTGGTATGTTCTTTGAAAGGCAGTCTGTTAGCTCACTAAAGCTGAAAAATGCATGTCTTATGAACTAGAATCTCCACTCCTGGGTCTTACACCTTAGAGAAACATGTGCTCGTCTTCTTCAGCAAAGGGCATTACCTATGTGTTAAAAAGCAGAGCCTGGGTACAAATCCACAGTAAAATGGATGAAATAGTTGTGACTTTTTTCCGCAATGGCATACTCTATGGAAATGATGAAAACTGAACTGCTTATGACAACATAGACAGAACTTGCACTATAAAAGACAGGCTTAAAATTTTATTCTGAATAATTCTACTTCTATACAAATTGAAAACGAGAAAGACAAGTCTGCACTCTGGAGTCTCCTTAAGATATGTGTCCTAGGGGCTGGCTGCTGGGAGTTTGACCATGCTCCAGCAAGTATACAGGCAATAAAAATTGGACTCATGTTTTTGGTTGTTGTTTTCTTTCTTTCTTTCTTTCTTTCTTTCTTTCTTTCTTTCTTTCTTTCTTTCTTTCTTCCTTTCTTTCTTCTTGGGAGAAGAGGAGTCCCAAAGGTTAGGGGAGCAGACCTGAGAGGACTAGGAAGAGAGTATAATTGGGCTCAATATGTAAAATAATCAATAAAACTATTATGTTGAAAAAAAAGAATTCGGGTACTCAAACCAATGTTCTTTAGCTGTTGGCATTCATGAAATTCAGCCCTATCACATTGCTATAGAAGGAAGGACACAGACATCGAGTGTCAGCTGGGGATGATCCTGCTGCTGTATATTGGCTGATCCTGTTCATCTTCTTAAATAGATAACATCTTGCTTTTCTTACTGAGGAAAGATTGTCTTTAAAAAGAAAACTTTTAAATAGCTAGAAGCTGGAAATAACCCAGATGCCCCTCAACTAAAGAATGGATACAGAAATTGTGGTACATCTACACAATGGAGTATTACTCAGCAATGAAAAACAAGAAAATCATGAAATTTGCAGGTAAATGGTGGGAACTGGAAAGGATCATCCTGAGTGAGCTGTCCCAGAAGCAGAAAGACACACACGGTACTCACTCATATAGACATATAAAATAGGATAAACCTACTAAAATTTGTATGTCTAAAGAAACTAATCAAGAGGGAGGACTCTGACTAAAATGCTCAATCCCCATCCCAAAAGGCAAAGACATCAGAAGAAGAAGAAAACAGGAAATGAGTTAGGAACCTGCCACAGAGGGCCTCTGAATGGCTCTGCCCTGCAGACTATCAAAGCAGATGCTGAGACTTATGGGCAACTGTTAGGCAGAGTGCATGGAATCTTATGTAAGAAGTGGGAAATAGTAAGATCTGGAGAGGACAGGAACTCCACAAGGAGAACAACAGAACCAGGAAATTTGAACACAGGGGTCTTTCCAGAGACTCATACTCCAACCAAGTACCAGGCATGGAGATAACCTAGAACCCCTGCACAGATGTAGCCCATGGCAGTTCAGTGTCCAAGTGAGTTCCATAGTAATGGGAAGAGGGACTGCCTCCGACATAAACTGATTGGCCTGCTCTTTGATCACCTCCCCCTGAGGGGGGAGCAGCCTTACCAAGCCACAGAAGATGATAATGCAGCCACTCCTGATGTGATCTAATAGACTAAGATCAGAAGGAAGGAGAGGAGGACCTCCCCTATCAGTGGACTTGGGGAGGGGCATGCGTGAAGAAGGGGGTGGTAAGGTGGTATTAGGAGGGGAGAAGGGAGGGGTTTATGTGGGTATACAAAGTGAATAAAGTGTAACTAATAAAAACAAACAAACAAAAAAAAAACTTTTGATTTATGAATTGCAGTTCAAAGCAAGCAACTGTGTCTGTGGGCCACAAGAGGGCAGCAGTTACAAAGCACAGCTAGAAAAATGGACTGAAAAACTTGTATAACTTGGCATAAAACACTGATCATGTAAACAGATGTTAAGTAAGCCCCTCAAAAAATTTGCAATTATTCTAAATGATTAAGTTTATGATTCAAAGATGGAAAAACTAACATAAGTTTTCTATGGAAGAAATTTCTATTTGTTTTCATTTTCTCCATACAATTCCTCAAAATTAGTCACTACAGGACAGGACATTTCCTCTAAATGTTATATTTATGTTTTTCAGGTTATTGAATAAGATTTAACTAAAACTGTTGTATTCTGTTCAGAGTTCGGGAAACTGAGGTTCAATTTAACACTATTAACAAGCAGAAAGGACAGAATTTGGTGTTTTCTGATATTTTTTCACAATTGTCCATCAACAGGACAAAATAATACTGACAACTTTAGCTAATTTCATATATGATTTGAAACATTATTCTCATAGATTCCTGCTATAATAGAACATTAGTTTTGTGAGTATAAGATTTTTTTTTTTTTTAAAGAAACAAAGCTAACAATCCTCTCTATTGAATCATCAAATCAAGAATCAATCCTTTGGAAATGAATCCAGTGCTTTCTCAGAAAATTGGGAATAGTTCTACCTCAAGACCCAGCGATACCACTCCTGGCCACATACCCGAAACATTCAATGAGGACATTTGCTCAACCATGTTCGTAGCAGCTTTATTCATAATAGCCAGAATCTGGAAACAACCTAGATGTCCCTCAACAGAGGAATGGCTACAGAAATTGTGGCACATTTACACAATGTAATACTACTCAGCTATTAAAAATAGGGAGATCATGAAATTTGTAGGCAAATGGATGGAACTAGCAAAGGTCATCGTGAGTGTGGTAACTCAGACCCAGAAAGATACACATGGTATATATTCACTTATGAGCGGATTTTAATCATATAGTATAGCATAGACACACTACAATTCACAGACCCAAAGAAAGTAATCAATGAGGAGGACCCAAGGAAAGATGCTTAACTCTCACTCAGAAGGGGAAATAGAATAGACATCAGAAGTGGCTGAAGAGAGAGAACAAGACAGGAGCTGTCCTATGAGAGGCTCCACCCAGCAGCTAACTGAAACAGATGCTGAGACCCACAGCCAAAAATTGGGAGAGGTGTGGGGAGTCTTGTGGAAAAGTGGGAGGAAGGTTAGAAGGACCCAGAGGTGCCAGGAGCTCCACAAGAAGACCAACAGAACCAACTAACCAGAGCCCAGAGGGCCTTGTGGAGACTGAAGCACCAACCAAGAATCACGAACGGCCTGGACCTAGGCCCCCTACACAGATGCGGCAGATGCGCAGCTCATATGGGTCCTCTAGCAAGAAGATGGGGTCTGTCTCTGTCATGGACTCTGTTTCCTGCTTTCTGCTCACTTCCCCCTGGCGGGGCTGCCCCCCCCCATAGCTGGCTCAAGGAACGTCATGGAAGAGGGGGCAGAAAGGCTGTACTAGGCAGAACACCAGGAAGTCTGCAGTGAAGCAGCTTCTCCTGGAAATGGATCCATAAACAAGCTGCAGCACCAATGGGTACATTAACAGGAAAGGGAGAAATTTTCACGGGGCCCAACCTCTAGACAAAGCTACAGACAAGCTAGCGACTGCTGGTAGAAAAAGAACTAGCCTCTTCCTTATTGGTGGTCCCATGCAGAGTCAGCTGTGAACGTATAAACATACAAATAACAAAACAGACTCAGCGAGATGTACTTACATATTATGCATATATATGTAATAAAGAAAAACAGTCTATCAACTTGGGGGGGAGTGAGTGAGATTGGGAAGGGCTGGAGGGAGGGTAGAAGGAAGGGATTGGAGTAAAGGGGGGAGGTGTTATAATTCTATTTGAATTAAAAACTTTTTGGTTTTTTTTTTTTTTTTAAACAGGGTTTCTCTGTGTAGCCTTAGCTGTTCTGGACTCACTTTGTAGACCAGGCTGGCCCGGAACGCACAGAGATCTGTCTGATTCTGTCTTCTTAAGTGCTGGGATTACAGGTATGAGCCACTGCACGGGGCTTAAAGCATATTTTTTAAAGAAAGACTCAATCACTGGGACCGGCAAGAGGTTTAGTGGGTGAAGGTATTTGCTGCCATGCCTGACAATCTGAGTTTGACTGTTGGGACCTACATGATAGAAAGAAGAAGCTGTCCCCTGCAAACTGTCCTCCAACCTCCTTACACACAGTGGGGCACACGCGCATGCACACACACACACAGGCCTGGCTAGTCTACATAGTGAAATCCAGGACAACCACTTATATCCCTGTGTATATGTGTATAAATAAACACGTACATATGTTTATAAATATACATATACTCGTGTGTGTGAATTTTATAGATTTCTCTAACCTCGGTCCCTAGACTATTCCCTACAACAATGGTGTCTTTCTTTTGTTCCCATCTATTCTGTCTGTCCTGCAAAACTCCTACAGCACTTACGTTCCAGAGCGTTGTAAAGGAGCTCAAAGTCTTCTTTTGTTTTAGGGTTGTGCCTGCGGTAATAGTCCATTTGTATCCAGTCTTCCTTTTCTCTGACCTTCTTGAGCTCTTCCTCCTCTTCCCACTCCAATCTTAGTTGCTTTTGTTTTCTTAAGTTGTCTACATAGCACTTAGCATGCCAGCGCCTGTAGTTGGTCTGTATCACCAACACCTGGGTTTAAGTCGGAAGGAAACACAAGGTGTCACTGGCTTGCTGACCAGAACACAAAGAACAGCAACAATGGTTGCTTCAGTTCAAAGTCTACAACAAAACAAAACTGTCAGCCTAGTTTTAATTCTTCCTGAGACGTTATGCATAGTAATGTAAAGGCTATGAATAATGTGCCACTCTTCTTCAGCTTTCAAATCTAGCAGTACATTACTATCAGACTGTTTTATGTGCTTAAGAGCACAGACTCTAGAGAGAAAGCTGATGTAAATCTTCTTTCTGCTTTTCCTCCATGTCTGGCTTTGGATAACTAACTAACCATTCTCTCATATGCAATAGCCATAGAAAGTTTTTAGCCCAAGAATAGTTCCATAAACATTACAGCAGTTAGAAATCATAACTGTCTCTAGCTTACGAGTGGCTACAAGTTTAAACACATATTTACAACAGAATTGCGTTTTCTAAACACATTGCAAGGAGGTACACATGCATGTCATCAAAAACAGGCTAGAGTCTCTTATGGTTAGACCATTATTTTATTTGGAAGCATGAAGAAAATTTTTCCTTGGTGTAGACCTTCCCCCATGAAGACTTGAACTAGATACAGTCTACACAATGGAGCCTCCTTGGTCTCCCTGAAGATGAGAACAGCTAATTTCCTCACAGTTACATGACATTGTGGGACATGTTCTCAGGCTTCCCAGGGATAATTAACCTTGGAGGATGGGGGGGGGCATTTTCCATTTTGGTCCCTCTGACCACATCAGAATTTCCTTTGAGAATACACCAAAGAATAATTGACCATTTTTAAAGAGCCCACAAAAGAGAAGGCCCCTCACGGAACAAAAGGAACTATGTTCTTTTGTGGAGAGGACCACTTGTAAAAGCAGTTATCAAAACAGGGCCCAGACTGACAACATCAGTGAGTATCTAGAAACTTCCGCCAGTGTGGCTTTTCTTGATGCTACTCCAGAGCTGCTGGGGAACGGAGCATCCAACACAGCAGCAAGCTCTTCACTAAATTCTGAAGCTAAAGTTTCTGAGCCACTTTACTTACATGAAACACAACAAAAAGAAGACTGCACTAGACCTAGTTAATGTCTTTAGAGTAAAAAGAAAGATGTCAGTGTGAAAAGAAAAATACATTTTGAAATTAAAAATAAGTAAGAAAGTAGGATATGTATTAGTACAGGTGCTTTTGAACGTGTTAAAGTCATTAAGGCTTCAAAAGAAGCTTCTACAAGAATACAAAAGCTTTCCCATTCTTACCTAAGGAACCAGGGCAACATCAATTGGCTATATAAACATACAAGAGTCTCTTTGTCAGCCTTGACCAACAACTCAAAAGAGGGCTTCTCATGTCTGGTACTGGGGGATTTTCAGTGGTCTTTGGCTCTTGGAAGGAGCACCATCAGTTCAGTTTATAAAAATTCGTTAAAACTGTATGTGTATATTTATATACAGAATTGCATGTATTATAGTATTTTAGATAAATGGTTAAAAAGCTGATTCCTTGTGGCTTTTTCAGACATTCATATTTTTATTTCACCCATCTCCTTCCTTCCACACTACCTCCTTCTACCTTCCCTAGGGAGCTTCCTTCACTTCTATCCTTATGCTCCTCCTTACCCGCCTCTTACCTCCTTCTGTACTTCCCCTCTTTCCCTCTCCTAAAGAGTCCTCCTTTCCTCTTCCCTGACCGCACCAAATGTACCCTGCTATTCCCCACTCTATTGTTCCTTGTTCCCACTGTACTCGCAACAGTCTCCTTTTACTCTCTTGGTTTCACTACAGGGTATGTACTCACACCTGTAGACTTGGAGTAGAGGTCTCCAGTGAAAGAGAACATTCAACATTTGTCTTTCTGGGTCTGAGTTAACCTTACTCAATATGATCTTTTCTAGTTGCTGTTGCCCTTGGTTGACACCGAGAGGTGGATAGTAAACCTTGATTGCTGAAGACACAATACACTTCAGAAACAGGGTCCAAAGCACCCTGAGCTGTAATGCTGTAACTTACCTAGGATGCTCGCTCTCTCTCTCTCTTTCTCTCTCTCTCTCTCTGGACTAGCTTTCATGGTACCAGAAGACATCACACAAGCCTCCAAAGGAGGGAAGCAAACTACACTCCTACTCACATACAATTCCCATGAACCACATCAATGACAAGCATAGGAGGGTTACATTAAGGGTGCAATAATGGCACCCAAAACTTGGTGGTAACAGACAGCTCTGTAAGTGGATTTAAGGCCTTCTCAACAAGAGGGGGACAGCGCCTGATACTGGAAACCTGGCTAACGACTCTCGGTGCTGCTGAAGTCATGGTTACTGGAGGAGAATCTATCACCACCAAGTCACTAAGCCTCTTCCCTTCCCTGAACTTCACTAGCTCATGGGCTTCCCTCCCCCAGATACCCAGTCTTAGAACCCCGCTACTTAGGCTAGGCACTCTCTGGCTTGGGCCTCTCTCGGTCTTCATATGTCATCCTCTCCCATTGTCTCTTCTGCTCTGCTCCTGGTTCTATTCTGGCCAGGTCCGGCCTGCAGGCCATGCTCAGTCTACTATCTCTTCCAGACACCTCTGTTCTTCCCTCTCATAGCTACAATAAAAACAAAAGACTTGCCCTTTATTATGCCATGAAGTGGTCATGTAGTCCATGCATACAGATGGGGAAAGTCCAACGGGCCTCAGCCCTACATAAAGAACTATAAGAAACTGAGGAAAGCTGGTAGCAAGGGAGATGGCTTTCCCCAGGAAAAGAGCACATTGATTGGCTGTCCAGCGCCAAGTGGTCAGCCCTGAAAATAGAGGGACACTAACGTTAGACAGCGGGAACGCATAATGAATGATGATGATGATGCGTGGGTGTGAGAGAGAGAGAGAGAGAGAGAGAGTGTGTGCGTGTGTAAAACAATTAGAGAAAAAGGAGACCATGAGTTTGAAGGAGAATATGGAGAGGTATATGGGAAGGTTTGGAGGGAGGAAAGGAAAAGAAGAAATGTAATTATTCTGTAGTCTCAAAAAGAAAAAAGATTTAAAAAGAAGTAAAGAAACCAAAGGCTGGCAAGCTAATGGCACTAATGAAGTCAGCTAATAATAAGAGTAATAAGAATAAGAAAACAACAACAAGAACAAAAACAAAACAGCAGTATTTCTTTGGAAGACTCTGTATCTTTAAGATGTCAGTGCAACCCCTCTCTTTGAATGACTACTTTTCTCTTACTGAGAAACTTTGTTCTCAAAAACCATAAGCCATCAAGAACTTTGCCACTTGTGATCAGGGAGACTGAAACATCTCATTCCTGCCTGAAGGAATAAAGAAAAACATAAAAATTTAAAAAACTTTAATTTCTGGTTATTTATGTGGAGGGACATTCAGGATGGTTGCCTTTAGTAGCAATAGTGGCACACACCCGTGATCCTAGCATTAGGGTAGGCAGAGGCAGGCAGATCTCTGTGAGTTCGAGGCCAGCCTGCTCTACAAAAACAGTCAAGGACGGCCAAGGCCATTATACAGAGAAACACTGTCTAAAAAAAAAAAAAAGGGGGGGGGGGAGGACTTAAACCCATGTTGTTCTTCCCCATTATGCCATGGCTTAGAAAAATACGCAGAGAATAATTGGCATAAGCAGGTAACTTTCACTGTTTGACCCCCATGAACACTGTCTTACCGCACGCAGCCTCATATCATGGTACTGTTTTGCTGAAAAGTACCTCGACGGCTTGAGCAGCTTATCAGTCAAGTTTGATACATACACACCAATTTTAGTCATCTGAGTGGATGTTGTATTTGTAGTTTGTTGCAACTTTTTTCTCTGAAAAACTGTCTAAAATAAAAACATTCAATTAAGCACCCACTGCATGATTTCTATAGTAAAGAAACTCTTATAAACATCTGCGAGTGGAGAGTTTTCTACACATTTACATTACTCTCTTTTATCACCTCAGTTGTCATACAGGTTACGGTGCGGGGAGTGAGTGGATGAAGTCCTGAGCACAGCCATTTCAAAGACCCCAGTGCCTCAGTCCCATGGAAATGGCAGGGCCTTCCCGGGGTTAGGCTCAGGGCAAGAGCAAGGCCTAACATCCATTGCTTAAAGAAGGAAGGTTTGTGTGAGGAAAATATCCTCCTCAGTTTCCTCCTCTGAGAGAACTGCAACCCAGACTGCTCCCCTGGTCAGCCCTGTGAGATTGGCTGGCTCCTTATTCAGCTGTACAAGCCTCCTCCTTCCACAGCAGATTCCCCTTCAGTGCTGTGTAATAAACGCACCGAGTTTCTGGGCTGCAGGGGCATCTCTATCAGAGCATCTGACACATCTGTCCCCAGCTTTTCTGCCTTCTCTTCGTTACCTGTCACCACAGCAAGGTAAACCCCAAAGCTGTGCAGGTTGGGGCACAACTTAAGATATTTGAGGGGCCATACAGTACATGATTGCTGATTTTATAATGTCACATACATAAACAGGAAGATAATGACATTACCTGGGTGTCCCTGCAAAACAGATTGGGCTTTTCCGGAATCTTTTTAGGTACGGTTTGTGTTCCAGCATTGTGAAATTCTACTCCTGTTAGTTTATGTCTAAATCCACCAAGAAATGGCTTGTGGAAGTCAGATTTTATTATCTCAACAGCTATCTCCTCATAGTGATCAGGGCCTAAAGAGATGAAAGCCAAGACTGAAGGCAAGTTCAACACCAGGGCACACTAAAGTACTTGATCTAGAAAACATCAGAGGACTCACTTGTCTGTATGGTGACCGTTATTATCTGGGAGCCCTCACTCAAGCCCTCTATCCTCTTGACTGGATATTGTTCAGGTTGGGTGGAACATATCTCTACCTGAGCAGCTTCTTGTGGCTTAATTCCAAATCGTAATAAAGTATCATTGTTGCCAACAATGTTGCCTAAGAAAATGAAAATATCAGAGTTCTTTTATGACAAAGAAATGGATATTTCTGTCTATTCTTTATTTTAAATGGGGAAAATTGTGTGTGTTTAATTTGTACCAAATGATGTTTCAATCAACACATGCCCATGTTGTGAAATGGTTAAGTCAAGCCAACAAATCCATTACTCGCACATTCCTTTCTGTGGTGAGAACACTTAGATTTTACTGTCTTAGTGATGTTCAAGTATATAATATATGTTGTTAGCCGTAGTCACCATTATATGCAGTAACCAACCAGATGATCACATTTTAAGGAAATGGAGAATCACGAAGGTGCTTGTAAAGGACACGTGTCAGTAAATTACTAAATGTAATATTAATGATTTCTGCCTCCTGCTATGTTAGTACAGACAAGTCCACAAGACGGGAGCTATAGTTCAAAACAATTTGATATATTTTATAGATAACTGAAAGAGAAATAAAGAGATGAAAATTTCATTTTTCTTGCTTTAATCAGCTCATATTTTATAACTTGCTGAAGCATCATGCTGTCTCATAAAAATGCATGTGATACATAGATAAAAAAAAAATAAAGCCAACCATGGTGACTCATGGCTGTAATCCTACTCCTGGAAAGGATGAGGCAAAAGGGTTATCAACCTACGAGTTCAAGTCCCACCTAAGCTATATAGTGACTTGTAGGCTGGGTTACAGTGTAAGAGTCTGTCTAAGGAGATGGAAATGTTAATTATGTGATTAATTCTGCATGAGGTAGATGTATCACATCATCACTCCGCGTCCCATAGGTAGGTTTACATAAGACAATAAAAAGTAAAGACGCCATAATGGGAATAGTTAGTGGCTTTTATGAAGCAATGCCACGTTATAAACAGAGCTATCTTCCAGTTCTTCAGAGATATAAATATCCAATAACCATGAAACTCTAAAAGCACTTGAATATAAACCCTCCCTATAGTATGAGCAGAATCATGTACTAAATGTTTACTTGACACAAAAGATAACACAGGCCATGTCCAAGTGAGTGGAGCATAATCTGTCAATCTAGAATCTGGAATAGCAAGCAAGCAGATCTCTGCTCCAAGCTGATCCACTCTCCCGTGTAGAAAAACACTGATCCGTTCCCTTGCTCTCCCAACAAAGCCATAGTCAACGAACACCATGTCTCTATTACATTGCTTCAACTTGTATGCATTCTCTCCTGCTCTGCACTGCCACCAGTGTATTCAGCTAAGTAGCTGATCCTTTTCTGGTTGGTGGGATGCAAAAATACAATGAAGAGCTAAGGTTGGTCCAACTGGGAATGTGCTTTCCGCATATCTGTAAGCCCAGCAGTGGGCAGGATTCTGAAACTTGCTCCCCAGCTGGTCTAGTCATATCAGTAGGTTCCTGGTTAAGTGAATTATGGCACCAGGAGTAGCCCCTGTCCTGATCCCTAAGACCTAAACTTACACAGCAACAATGACTGCAGATTTGATTAAGGATGCAAAATGGAGAGCTTATCCTCACTACCTAGCTGTGCTCTGCATCACATGTACCCTTGTTAAAGAAGGGGGGAAAGACTTAGGGGAAAAGTTAATACAACAGAAGCAAAGTGAGATCTGCCTAAATATGTGTCTCTGAGGATGGATGAGGGCCAAGGAAGCACTGAATGCCAGGACTGCGACTCTAGAAGCTGGAGTGGCAAGGAAGTGGATTTCCCACTAGGTAGTCCCGAGAGAGAGAGAGCAGATCCACAAGCACCTTAGCTGGACCCCACTGAAAAAGACGTTATGCCTCTGTCCTCTAGTACTGTGAAGGACGTTTACTTTGCGCCTCTGGGTTATATCAGTCATTACAATAGCCACAGCAAGTTAACGCACATCCCCTGAGCTTTCTTCATCTCTGTTCTTCTCTAGCATAGCCGCAGACCATCAGGCTTGAGCTACAGCCCTCAGGCTCAAAGAAAGCACCTGTTTTGAAGGATCGTTGGTTGGCATAGAATCTCACAGTGCTCTGTTTGGTACTGACATAAACTTGCTACCCAGAGGTTGTACAGTTGGTCATAAAACACCAAGAACAGAGCTCACTCTGTGTCGCTGTCCTTTACTGGATCTCTAAGCTTTTTCTAGCCTCAAATTTTAACCTTCACATTTGAGTTAAGGTTCCGCAGGTTAAACTTTCCTCTTTGATGGCACGCAGTTCAAACTCCACCACATCCTAGCGCATTGACTTTACAGAGGTTCCCTGAGTTTACTGTCAAAAGGGTTGGCAATAGCATCCCCTCAAATGGTTTGGGTATACATTGATGATAAAATAAGCAGAGTATTTTGCAGAGGTGCTGACCTGCTGAGGACTCGGCATGCCAACCTTTGTGATCATGGCTACCGTTTTTGCTGAGAATCACTCTGAACTTGAGCTTAGTTTACCCAATCAACCTTTCACTGGCTATTTCACTATATCTTAACGTCTGGAGTTCATTCACTCTTGTGGGGGTTAAAACATTTTGTTGCATTTTTTTATTCACTTACTGATTTGGTGTGTGTGTGTGTGTGTGTGTGTGTGTGTGTGTGTGTGTGCGCACGCGCGCGCGCACACACGCATACACATGGGTGCTTGCCTGCAAGTATGTGTGTGCATGTCATGCACAGAGTGACAGTCAAGGGACAACTTGAATGAATTAGTTCTCTCCTTTCACCATATGGTCTCAGGTTGTGTGGTTTGGCATAAAGTGTCTTGACCTGCTGTGCCATCATACCCGGCCTTAAAAAAATTGACTTAGAACTAAATTTGTTCTCTGGAAACTACGTGTAACATCTTTATAGGTCAATAGAAGAAGGCTTTTAGTGAAAACATTGGGATTTGTTCCTATGTGCCCTGTGTAAACATGTCAGCTACACTGACCTGGTAGACTCCCACAGCTATGAGCAAGTTATCTCATTGCAACATAAGGCCGGATAACTTAAGCAGATATTCTCAACAGCAGCCGCAAAATGTAAGCAAGGCTTACACTCTGAAAATTACCTTAGTGTATGGAAAAACTCAGAAACTACCGTTCCTGTGCTCTGGATGTTCTTGTTCATCACCTATTTTTGTTCAATCTCATTTCCCCTCCACACACTCAAAACTTCTTGACACTTTCCTAAAATCTTAACATTTGGGGTTCATTCACTCTTGTAGGGGTTACAAGTCCCCAACCTCTTTAGGACTTTTTCCAATAATTATCACTTTTTTTTTTGTTTGTTTGTTTGTTTGTTTGTCTGAAACATCCTATAGCCACCCAGGTTCCTTCCTCTGTAATATTCAAGCCTTGGTGGCTATTTTAAAGATATATTAAGATGAAGGAACTTCGGTAATTTACATGTGAAAACCAGGACAGTCTTGATAAACCCATTAGCCTTCACACTTACCTGCAAGTGTCAGCTGCAGTGCTTGCTGAGGGATGCACAGCAAGTGTGAAAAGTGGTCCTTGAGGAGTCTAAGTGGGGCATCAATTCTTAAAGGCATTTTAATTTCCTGGCCTACAGGAATAAGTACAACTTTTACTGTAAAAAAAAAAAAGAGAGAGAGAAAATGATCATCATCAAATACAGCAAGGGTCTGCAACCTATAGCTACAGAAGAGGGTAGCAAGAGCCAGTTGTTTGGGTTTTTTTGTTTTGTTTTTTTTTATCATGATGCATTTGGTATAAGTTACAATATCCGGAATCACCGAAATCCCCAAAAAGTCACCAACAATTTATGTGGAGTAACTAAACTGAGAGCTACTGAGTCCCATCTGGTGAGATTGGCTCACTTTATCTTCTTGCCCTGCCCCTTGCCATTCTTGCCTTGTGCAGGCACAGCATGCACAGATCATCTGACATGCCACTTGTGTATTCCAGAGCTACATTTCACAAAAATAAAGGCTCTTGTTGAGGTTGAGTAAGAAGACAGGGGAAGCTCCAGGGACGTGAGAAGGAAGAGAAGCCCCTCCCCAACCAGATGGCTGCCACTCCTTGGGTGAGAAGCAAGAATTCAAGCACAATTGACAATACTGACAGCCTGTCTCCCAGCCAACTCTACGCCTGCAGTCCTCTAGGAATCAAACTAGACAACCCATATGCAGAGAAAGGACTGAACCCTGCTACGTAATCCTACTGGCTTCTGATTCTGCTTTATCAGATTATAATTCCATCCAAGGTACCTCTGAAGCCATCCAATAACCTCACTTATCAAGGGAGAGAGAAAAGGAAATACATTTTTCTTAGGAATATTTTGAGGTGAAACTTGAAAACCACAGGAAACAGTATATATGGCAAATGATAGGACAATTAATTAGCACTCTGTTCCTGGACTCCACTTCCATGCTCTCCATGTAGCTTGGTTTCCCTGAGTGGTATCTCTTTCTTCTAACTTTCACGCCTAAGTCCTGTAGTAAATTATCTTTAATAAAGTCTCCAACTCTGCAGCATCTTGGCTTTCTCAGAAATTTCTTTCTATGTTGAAGTTATAAACTATACTTTGGCTCAAGCTGAGTGAGGTCCTTAAAAGATTTAAGGGAACCACTGATTGGTGCTAAGGATGACAGTGTGGGCCTCTCTCTCCCTCTCTCCCCACCTCTGTCTCCTCTCTGCTGACACTATTGCTGCTGTTAAACTGAATTCCCTGTTCTTTTTGTCACAGGTGGGCATTCCCAAAACTCACTGGCAAAGAAGAGCAGTCAGCAGCTGTATTACCACAGTACTGCTGCCCCCAGTCTGTTATCAAGTAATGGTGACACCTACATGAGATCCACATTGTTCTGTGCATGTCAAACTAAAGCTGAAGGAAGATTCTTAATCCTCATTCAGAAGGGCAAACAGGATAGACATCAGACAGGGGAAAAGACAGAGAGCAGGACAGGAGCCTACCACAGAGGATGTCTGAAAGACTCTACCCAGCAGGGTATCGAAGCAGATGCTGAGACTCATAGCCAAACTTTGGGCAGAGTGCAGGGAATCTTAGGAAAGAAGGGGGAGATAGAAAGACCTGGAGAGGAATGGAGCTCCACAAGAAGACCAAAAATCTGGGCCCTGCAGAGACTGATGAATCAACCAAGGACCATACATGGAGAGGACCTAGACCCCCTGCTCAGTTTCCATGGGGTTCCCAAGTACAGGGAACAGGGCCAGCCTCTAGCATGAACTCAATTGCCTGCTTTTTTATCACCCCCCCCCGACCCGCAAGGTAGCTTTACCAGGCCACAGAGAAAGTGGATCCAGACAGTGCTGATGAGACCTGATAGGCTAGGTTCAGATAGAAGGGGAGGAGGACCTGCCCTATGAGTGGACTAGGGGAGGAACATAGAGGAGGAAGAGGGAGAGAAGATGGGACTGGGAGGAGATGGGGGTAGGGGATATAGTCAGGATACAAAGTAACTAAATTGTAATAATAATAATAATAATGGAAAATATGAAAAAGCTGACCTACAATGAAAGCCAAAATGTTTTTCTGAGCTGTATATACAGTTTTACCAGGAAGACAAAAACAAAACAAAGCAAAAAACAAACAAACAAACAAACAAAACCCGTGGTATATAAGGGAATAGCAAATGCAAAGGAGGATCTGTATTCTAGTTACACACTATATCTTACTAGCTATGTGCAATAATTAACTCCAAATCTGCAAGCCAAAATATTTGATTATACTCAGAACCTATTCCTATTTACTCTATTTGAAATACACACTGAGAGAGAGTAAGAAAGAGACTTTTAAAAACTTTTATTATTATTACAATTTATTCACTTTGTATCCCAGCTGTGGACCCCTCCTTCATCTCCTCCCAATCCCATCCTCCCTCCCTCTTCTCCTCCTATGCCCCTCCCCTGAGACAGAGACTTTTAACTGAACTTTCAAACCTTTCAACTGAATTTTAAATGAAACAAAAAACTACCCTTTGAAACAAAGCAATATAAATATCTGTTCCCCTGCAGCTGGTACCTGTTGTTGAAGCTTCTTTCACCATCCTCCACACATTCTCCTTTGCGACTTTTACTTTTTTCAGAAATGATAAGGGGTCTTCTTCTGAGATCGGGTAATCAAGGTGCTGCTGATCTTGATCCAGAGATTGCATACTCACACTGGTGCTGTCAGAGGGCCCAAACCGTTCACCGTGTCTGGAATCAAATTTTTCAGCTGAAATGCTTCGTTCACTCCGCGTGTCTGGCGTCTCGCTCTCAGTGGTGAAGACCTCTACTTCGTAGTCTTGCTCATAAATTTCATCTGGTTCTTCCACATCTTCAGAAGGATGAGGAATACTGATGATGGCTGCAGCTGCTTCCCTGTCAGCTGCCAAGTCGTCTGCATTCTGAGGAGCAACATGATCCTCAGTGTCCGACATTTTCCTAAATTAAGACAAATGATTAAAGTTACAGCACATGTAAAGTTCCTTCACTGGGGCTGGGAAGATGGCTCTGTGGCTAAATGCATTTGTGGAGGACTTAGGTTTGGTTCTCCAGAACCGCAGGAAGACTCGGCCTGAAAGTCCAGTTCCGGGGCAACTGGTGTGAGCACATGCCCACACAGCTCTCAGACACCTGAAATACCAGTACTTTTTTATTATTATTTATTTTCTTACTAGTGACAGGCATCAGATGAGATTCTAATTTTAAAGATTACAGAAAATTAAAAATAAGCGAGAACCTTAAAACATAATTTGGAATATGATATTTTTTGAGAGCATTTGAGGGGAGGAGAATCTTCTGTTGTTGTCGGTCAGTGAAGCGTATCTCTTTAAGAAAGGACCTGTTTTTTGTTTTGTTTTGTTTTGTTTTCAGATTATAAAACTGAAACGGTATTTATGCTTTTGACAATAGAAAGGACTACGTATTTCAAGCAACCAACCAGGCAATGCACCCTGGATGAAAAGTAAGCTCTGCATTAGCAGAGAACTCAATGACCTCTGACCCCAACATGGATAGCCTATCAAATGAAGGCCAAATGCAGGAAGTGCTGCAGGGTAATTGGGGTCAAAGTTACAGTCAGTAAGAGCTTGGGCTTGGGAAGCAGAAAGACAATACCTCCGTGTTCAGCCCAGCTCATGCCAGAGGCAGGCTGCAGAAGGACTGGGGGAGAGCCATAGCCAGGACAGGAGGGACTCTACCAACAGAAGGCAGCAGCCGCCAAGCAGGATGGGCGCAGCCCATAGGCTGAATTGCTGCGGCTCTGCCTGGTATGGATGAAACCCAGCAGCCATAGAGAGGCGTGAGGGCTCTTTCTGGGTCCTCCGATTTGAGTAGCAACCTTACGGAGAAAAACATCAGTGGCGCCATCTCACTACTAGAAAATGAACGAGTGTGTTGTGCTTGCGCGTATATGCGTGCATTTGAAAGAAAATATGTAATGGTTGAAGTCAAAGCTTCCTGCTGACAGGAGCGATCTGCCACAGACAGAGCCTGGGTGCCCTTTCATACCACTACTCAGTGTGACAGATACAAGCCTACGACCGCTGCTTAGCTCATTACTTGGGGTTTGGTTTACTGAAAAAAAAAAAAAAAAAAAAAAATCCACGAAGGCTGAGAAAACCCCTCCCCAAACAAACAGCAGGTTTCCTTTGGTTTACCACAGAAGCGTTAAGAGCGCCACAAATAGGCACCCGTGCAGTCTCGCTGGACTGGTGTGGATTCTCATTGAGTGTCACCCAGGGGTTGATGTGTTGCAAGGTTGGCCCTTACATGTTCCTAGAAGACAGTGAAATGGGTCATCAGGGTGCTCCCTTCAGAAGGGGCTGAGGTGAGAGTCATGTTTTAAAAAGAAAGGTGACTTATCTAACCCACAGTCCAGAAGACCAAAGGCCAAGCGTCGGGCAAGGAACCCTCTGGCTGTCTCGCCTCATGTCAGACAGCACCAGAATGGCAATTCTGTCCATATGAACAAGCTAATATTTGCATGTCCACTGCCTGCTACAGGTGGTCAAGTCCAAAGTTAAACAGTAATTTCACAATCAGCTACTGTTTGGAAAGGTTTTTAAATTAATTTTTAATTTTATAACTTTATTACAATTTTCATAACACAAGCTATGAAAGATGATATAAAGATAACTATCTTGTAATTCTAATTTTTTGTCATGGACCATTTGGGGTTTGGTGGTAAGTAGGTTCAAAATTGGATGTGAAGCCCACAATGCCCATTCCAGATGCCTATTCTGACTATAGAAGTCTATTGATTTGTATAGACTTTGGGCCTGGTTAATTTTGGTTTGTAGTGTTTTCACTTATTTGAAAGTTTTTGATTACTGTTAATTAAATTTATATAGTTTTATGAGAGCAGAATGTGCTTAAAAGCAAAAAAATAAACTAATAGAACAGAAAGGGATAAAATAAACAGTAAAATAAACCTCTTATTGTTAATACTCTAGTTTTATTTCTCAGTGCCAAGCAATATAGTTCTTCTACAAATTGTTCATGATGAATTTATAATTGCAACCATATATCTTTAAATATATAAACTTTCCAATATATTTTAAAACTGATGCAGTTTTAATTGTTTACTTATATACTTAACATTTTTAGACATTTGTTTCTACCTCATTTTTCTCAATGATTATATAGTAACTTCATTACAGAGCTAAGTAAGCCACATCATATTCTATTTTTGCTCTACTGACAAACCTTTAAACTGTCTCCAATTTTATACAAGTAAAGGGTAAAAGGTACGTCTGTCACAAATGGACATCATCTTTGTTTACAAGTTTAAACACACTACAAAAAATTTCTTATAATTCAAAAGTAAAAAAAAAAATGCAGATCTCCATTAAATTCCATAAAATTATTTTCTTAAAATTCAACACATAATGCAGCCCCCCTTTTTTTCCTTTCATCTTTTTATTGAAAAAAAAATCCCTTTGTTGTGTATTATTATTGTACTGCAAAGATACCTAATGTTATATTGGTTTTTTTATTCCGACGAAGTTTTGGATTCTTTGGTAGTGAAATTTAATAGTCTTTTTGCTTGAGTTTCCAACTTTCATAATGTGCTTAGAAACACTGTCTCACATTGTAGCATCAATACCTACCTGGACTCACACAAATATATAAAAAATAAGGCAGAGCAGGAAATACCAATAGGAAGCCATTTTGAAACATATAGTGCTAACACAGAACAATGTGTACACACAGAGCACATACACTTTGACACCTCTGGAAAATGAATGGGTGGAGGGGAGGTTTGAAATGGTGAAAGATGTTTGCTATTCAATTTTTCACTGTTATACCATGTGATTTGGGTAAGAATGCCCCCTGTTACAATGAGAGTTTTAGCATCTTCAAAAACCCAGTTGTGTTATGTGAGTATGTTTTTGTTTTAAGCCCTGATATGGGATACAGGACTGCTTCAGACTGTTCACAGCAGCAAACTATTTGCCTCCTGTTCTGGCAGGGCACGATTCTGCCAGCTGAAGATAGTTTAAATCTGGGAACTCCTGAGAGAGTATAAAAACACCAGAGCCTGGTGTGGCGTGGGTGGCGAAGGGGTTCTTCCTGCTGCTGCTGCTGCTGCTGCTGCTGCTGCTGCTGCTGCTGCTGCTGCTGGTGGTGGTGGCTTGTCAAGTGGTGGTGAGAAAAGAAATAAGAAGAAACTGGAGATATCCTGATGAGAGGAATGTTGGACTTGCTCAAGGAACAAGGCCCCTTAATCAGCAGGAAGCAGTCTAAAAAGATCTCAATGTGCCCACACCCCACTAACCTGTCTCTCATACCTGGTGTTGTGGTGTTGGAAAGGATCAGGGTGGAGAACAGTGGTAGATATAAGAACCCAAATAAAATAGATTTTTTTAAAAAATCAGGCCAGTACCCTATAAGCTCATATATTTGAATGCTTAGTCATCAGAAGTGGAACTCCTTTTTAGGATTAGAAGGATTTGGAGATTTGGCCTTGTTGAAGGAAGTCTCTCTCTCTCTCTCTCTCTCTCTCTCTCTCTCTCTCTCTGTCTCTCTGCCTGTGGATCAGGATGAAGTGCTCTCAGCTGTTGCTCCAGTGCTTGCCCTAGGCCACCATGCTCCCTGCCATGATGATAACTGACTAGCTTCTGACACTGTAAACAAGCCCCAATTAAATGTTTTCTTTTATAAGAGCTGCCTTAGTCATGCTTCTTGGCAAAAGAACAGTGACTGAGACAGACTCACTCCATTTGGTGGAGGTGCAGATTTTGACACAGCATCTCACTATGAACCCCAGGTTGCCTTTAAGCTTGTCATCCTCCTGCCTCATCTCCCCAGTGCTAAGGGTATACATCCCCAAGAATGCTGGGTTTTTCCTCATTTTTATATATCATCTATTCAAATATGTTTTAGTCCTTGGTTTAAAAATAAAACTCGGTAGCTATTAAGATTATATATAAATATACAATCTGCCCCTTCACCTCTAATACATGATTTCATTTCTTGCCATGAAAGCTTACTGCATCTGGACTACTGGTAAGGCAGAGATCCTGTCTCACCTTCTGTGGGACAGGCCTACTGAAGCTTTTGTTAGTGGGTGAGACCATTGTGGAGGAAAGCAGCGTGCCTGGGGAGGAAAGCCTAAAGGCCCTGAATTCCCTGCAGACTTAAATGGTCTCCACAGAAGGCCATATCTGGCCACCCTCCTCTCCTACTGTTACCATGATCAGCACCAGGTGGTGCAGTGATGTAATCCTCCCGTCTTGACCCTGTTGATTCAAGAAAGCAAATCAGTGGGGAGGGAGTAACTGGAGAAGCGTGATGCTTTATGAGGTTTTTGTTGTTAAGTAAAGTTAAGAAGCATTATCCCTTGACTAGAGAGCGTGTGCCTAGGCAAGACTGGCACCCCCGCAAGTCACATCAGAGTCACCCACGCTTACAACAAGCATCCATCTAGGAGAGGGATGCCAAAAGCGTCCTCTTACCTGCTCAAGAAACACAACTATTACAGATGAAGAGGTTTCTCCAGGCCTGGGAAGCCGCTCTTTTCTTCCTAGATGTTCTGTTGCTGGCCGTATCCTAGCAACTGGCAGCTTCATCCGCCAGGGCACCACCCCCGCGCAGTTGCAAAGGAACCAGCCAGCAAGAGCAGAAGCCTAGAAGCCAGAAGTGGAAGTAGTTAGCTGCCGGGATGATGGACCTTAAGATTATTTGAAGTCAGCCTCCCGGAGCTCTCAGACTTCTGAAATTCAGTCCGTAGGCAGCCTAAGGTCACAGGTTATTTTCTTTTAAAATGCAAATACGAACACTGGTTTACAACAGGGTGTCTAACTGCTTGTTTTCGTCCAGTTCAGATCTTTGCTGTAGCTTCCAGGCAGCCAGAAAGAACAGGAAAAAGAGCTATGAACTCCACTTTATAAGTAAGGAGAAGCGATGAGTTTGTTTACCTATCATCAAACTCTTT